ATGGCCTGGGCCGTTATATTCGAATTAAGATAAAAGCTACAAATATCAAATAAATCTAAGGCTTGCATGAATTATTTCTTAAATAACCACTAGAAAAATAATATTCAGCTTGAGACTTTTCATTCGTATGACGTCATGTTTTGACATGACATTAATGCGCCAAGATCATTCATGAAATTTCGCGGAATTTTATTTTATTTTGATTTTATACATTTTTTAAGATCTTATGCATTAATTCTTTTTGTTATGCATCAGAATAGGAATGACGGTTCTGTAGTTTCTTTTTTCAATTTCAATTTGAACACAACGAAATCCACAAAGCTTACGTGTTTGGTCATAGGTTACGACACATCTGGATTTACGTGGAAGGTATAGTAACAGCCATTAATATGTACATCTCTGAGTCTGCGCTAAGTATAGATATATCGAGAATTTTATCACGCTGTTGATTACAAAGCGAAAGAAGCACGTCATATTAGAATATGTCTTTTAAAAGAAGTTGTTTTGTGTAAATGGCCCTTTTTGGATAAGGCAGTTGCTCATATTCAAATATATTACATATGGTGTAGCATTCTCCTGTTTTCATTGGATATTACGATCACGTGTTTGAAAGGTTATTTTATGTATCCGAAGCCTTGTTTCTATTTGTAAGTATATTGATGCTATGTTTCTATTTATATGTATATTGACGGTCAATATGAAAAATCTTGCTAAATTTTATTAGATTAATGACATCATGACGTCACACATAACAACCGCGGAGGAAGCGCCGCAGCAGATCATGAGATGAAAAGATAATTTGTTAGTTTATCACATGCATTTTCATGTTAAACGCAGACGCTATGAATACAAAGAAGCTAACGCAACAAGCTATGAAGATGTTCAAAGAATATTGATATTTTCAATAACATGTTAAAATTCTTGCAAAATACAATTTAAAAATACACAGAAAGAACATTGAACGCCATTTTCCTATTACATTATTTACATATGTAATTTTTAAATTCAGGACTTTCACTCAGTCAATACGTTATATATGGACCTGTTAGATTATATTGACACTCGGACTTCGTCCTCGGACAATATAATCTGGACATGTCAATATATAACGTGTAGACCTCCTCAAAAGTCCATAATTGATAAATACAAAAGTTGTATTATAGTGGCCATAGGTAAAATGTATAACATTTGGCATGTTTATAGTGTATAGTGATATCACAGACAGATTGTAGTAAGGCTCCATCATTTTATTCATTTATCAATAAGATAAGCATACTTTTGAAAGGATTAAAATCTCTTTTAAGCAACTTCATTAGCAAAATAATGTTTCTTACCATACCATCTCCTTTTTCAAACAAATAATATATGAAATTCATAAGATTTAATTAAATGGATCTTACTCGTTGATTTTTTTTCTTCATGAATGGCACCGAACGATTAGATTAATAAGATAAACCAAATATCGAATATGAACTATTATTGTAACCGCCTTCATGTTATCTGAATTCCACCAGATCTAAAATGGTGGGATTAGTATTGCTTAATCTTTTGTTTCCCGATGCTGTGTTTTGTGGACTTTTTCCCCCTTAATCTTTTTTCTATGCACCATGGTGTTGTCTGTCCTACTGCGACTTCAGATTTGGATTGCCTCTAGGTATCTTCTTATTTTTTTTAAGGCATACAAGTATTAACATTGTGCACTACTGGGAAACATCACTTTCTCCCTTGTTCTCAATACAACATACAAGTAAACTGGGCAAAACAAAGTAAAATAGACAACAAAGGTCCAAAGTCCTAAGAATTGTGTGTGTTCGTCCTGCCGATGCATGAAAGTTTGGTTTGAACAACCATCAAAATATATTTTTTCTACGGTTTAAATATTATTGGCCGGAACGTGAGGAGGAACAACACCAATTTAACAAAAACCTTTGGGTTTTTGCAGGGTGGTTGTAATTTAACACGCATGTGCCCTCCTGTTCCGCCGTCTACTTAACCTGTAATCTAAAATTCCTGGAATTCTTTTATTCTTTTGTGTTTTAGCACATGTATCAAGCCTGGCTGCAACATCTCAAGTAAGGCAACAGAAGTCTACCGATGTTCAAATTTAATAAATAGATTGAAATGAAACAAATCAAACTAGTAAGTAAAAATTGAGGGAATCACATGAACTCCAAAAGGAGCGATACTGGGTACGTTGGCAGGGTAAGCATCTCCTGCTATGAATGCATCACCCGCAAATCCAATTCACACTAAGTCAAAATGTCACAATCTGGAACAAGACACAATCGGTAAAATGACGGATCAGACGACTATACAGCTGGTATCTAAAGATTCTTGCTTTACCCTGTTCATTATTCGTAATATTAAAAGATCACAATATCAATGGTCCACTAATAAGTGTAAAATATGACATTGAAATTTTGATTTTATGAAAGTTTCCTTGCTACGAATAAATCACTTGTTTAGGGAGCAAGGCGGTGGAGATGGGAAACGTTAACAGCAAATATTAATTATAAAAAAAAAAATCAAGCAAACAAAATGATATAAGAATCTCGTTTTTAATACGCTAACGTTTCTATAGCATGATTGCAAATTAAACAAAAAATAGCGCGAAGATTCCATTCATACGTTTATCAACCGATCTATTGATCCAATAGCATTTCGAAAAAAGTTATGATTTTCTTCCTTAAAGATGAATATATTCTGTCAAATCAAATAGCTTTTAATTTGACTAATGTTTTACGTTAAACGTAAAATTAAACATAATCTTGCATGTGGCTGTCATGATAATTCAGTGAGAGTGAAACCTCCAATAAATCAATCTGCAGAATGTATTTCGGGAAAAAATCTTTTTCATAGAATTCTCACGTTTCATCTTTCCGGAACAGCATGATCCGGAATGTATAATCCTTTGCATTATATCAAGACTCACTTAATGATAAGCCTAAAGTCTGCTGGCAAGCTTAAATAAATGGATCAAATCTTCATTTCTGAAGTAATATGGACAAAACAACTCAAAATGCTGCAACTGCAGGTAAGAAATAAATTGTAAAGTATTTATTTGCAATATATTTTGAATGTTTTATTCGAGATATCTGTATTTTAATTTAAATTTTGAATCATTTAGGTAAGTAACAGTATACTGCAATGATATAGAGGTTTTTAAAATATAATCACCAGCATGCGTTGCGCTAGTGCATGTGAATCTTTTATTATTTTTGGTCAATGCAGCATTATCTACCAAATTCATTATCACCGAATTAACTCAAACTCTCAAACTTGATGTACAACCTACTTTAACCTATATCAGAATTACAAAAAAAGTTGCAAAGGATACAATACACAATGCACGGAACAGTTATTAAGTATCAACATTTCCTCCGTATTTCATGACCAGACTCCATCTAATAACCCAACTTCTTCACCTCCGAAGATTGCCGATTGTCATTTTACTCCATTACAATACAAAATAGACAGACCTTTACATTCGGATGATGCACATTCGATAGTATAAGGACGATTTTCCTAGATCTGCTTAAATTTATGTCATAGATAAAACAATAAAAATTATGTAAATCATCTGTTCACCTGTAATGAGTTTGGCGGTCCAAATCAGTCAACGAAATAGGTCTTCCTGCTGGCTCTCTAGTCAAAAGTTTCCAGCTGTGACATTCTTTTTTTTTTTTCAATAGCTGAACACACGCGCAATTGATCTTTAACTGGGGTCCCATCATATGTCGCACGGACGCAAATGGTCGAATTATTATTTTACAGAATGTACAAGCAATATTGAATCAAACTGTCTTAAAGTAGCGAATTTTTATTCAATATACCGTTGTTGTAAATGTAAAAAAAAAACCAAAAAACATATTTTTTTTCAAATTTTTATGTCAAAATTGTAGCTTAAGTCGTTTTTCAAACAGGAGACTACCTAATATTAAGACATCCATTTGATGCACGCGTTTAAGGCATAATCGTTGATTGCTTTACTTTAAAAGAAAAAAGTTATTCAAATCTGACCAAATATAAAATATCAAAGAGTTATATTTTCCCAATCTTTTATCCTTGGGCGTGCAATGTATCTTATCCAGCATTCGATGTCGTGTGTATTAAAATCAGTATCATTCATTTATGCTGACAATTTCTGTTTTAGGAAACATTGTTTATACGACATGAATAACTACTTAATAGAATCAACACCGATTCTGCTTAGATATTGTAAATTCACTAGTTTATTTATCTCGGGTTTCCGTGTGTTGTTTTACGGTCATCGATATTTTGTTTTTACAACCGGCACGAGTTATATTGAGGGAACCACAAACGGTTTATACATGTTTACACTGAATGTTGATTATTCTAAAACTTTCAAATATGTTAAGTATACAAAAGATTTACTGCATTTTAATACTTCAAGTCTTGGTATATACATTGTATTTAAAAATAAATAAATTAAAAGACACGTTTAATCACACTTAAAATAATGTGTATGATTGTACTGATACATGTCTATGTTGACATAATAACCTAGTGTAACAAATTATCTTGTGTTTCTATATTGTGAATATATTGTTTAAATCATGGATATTTATATTGAAACACAGATACGGTAACCGAAATAAAAAATGTAAGAACAAATTTAAATTATAAGGGGACAATCATTCAGTTTAAATTAGGGGACAGGAGGACTATGAAATTTGGAAAATATTTTGAGCAAACAAATGAAAAAAAAAACCTCGTGCAGCATTGTCTCAAATGGGCTTTCAAATCAAAATATTCAGTTTAACAGTAAATAGACCACATTGATTGAAATGACATCCTTCATTATAAACAAAAGATTATTTGCTATACGTTTTCCGTTAATAATAAATGTCAAATGAATATAAATGTTTAAACTAAAGTTACTTTGTTTTACTTAGAAGAAAATTTAATAAGTTATTTTTCTTTCATGAGACAAATGAACTGAACCTAAACAAATGAGGAAAATTATAGACCAATTCAGTCGACAAGTACCTGAACTATAGACCAATCCAGTCGACAAGTACCTGAACTATAGACCAACCTAGTCGACAAGTACCTGAACTATAGACCAACCCAGTCGACAAGTACCTGAACTATAGACCAATCCAGTCGACAAGTACCTGAACTATAGACCAACCCAGTCGACAAGTACCTGAACTATAGACCAACCCAGTCGACAAGTACCTGAACTATAGACCAATCCAGTCGACAAGTACCTGAACTATAGACCAACCAAGTCGACAAGTACCTGAACTATAGACCAATCCAGTCGACAAGTACCTGAACTATAGACCAATCCAGTCGACAAGTACCTGAACTATAGACCAACCCAGTCGACAAGTACCTGAACTATAGACCAACCCAGTCGACAAGTACCTGAACTATAGACCAATCCAGTCGACAAGTACCTGAACTATAGACCAACCAAGTCGACAAGTACCTAAACTATAGACCAATCCAGTCGACAAGTACCTGAACTATAGACCAATCCAGTCGACAAGTACCTGAACTATAGACCAACCCAGTCGACAAGTACCTGAACTATAGACCAACCCAGTCGACAAGTACCTGAACTATAGACCAATCCAGTCGACAAGTACCTGAACTATAGACCAACCAAGTCGACAAGTACCTGAACTATAGACCAATCCAGTCGACAAGTACCTGAACTATAATAGACCAATCCAGTCGACAAGTACCTGAACTATAGACCAATCCAGTTGACAAGTACCTGAACTATAATAGACCAACCCAGTCGACAAGTACCTGAACTATAGACTAACCCAGTCGACAAGTACCTGAACTATAGACCAATCCAGTCGACAAGTACCTGAACTATAGACCAACCCAGTCGACAAGTACCTGAACTATAGACCAATCCAGTCGACAAGTACCTGACAAAAGACACCAGTGGGAAATCTATTGTCAAACTATTACCTCACCTGCAAACACTGAATACTTGGTGTTTTCAATGTTTGCCCCGTTTTAGAATGGACAATATTAATTATAAATTCACAAGAACACGTTCTGGTAAATCGTAAAAATAAAAATAATTTCCAAATAATGTTTTCATTTCCTCCTAAGGTAGCAAACGACGAGTATATACGCTATATGACTTTTTATGTAGAATTGGTTTAAAAGGTTCCTATGCGAATACATTCCTGGAGTTCCAAATTTAAATTTATTTTTTACTGGCTGTTTACATATCTGTAACATGCCATTTATCTGTATATGTATGCAGCTAGATCAGAGAAGTTCGTATTTGCTGTTTTTGCTATCAATGTGCCACTAAAAAAAAACCCGAAATGAAAATGAAAAAGAAAACTGGTACAGCTTCAAAAAACGTAAGTGGGCGTATCGGATGAACGTTTACCTTATCTGACCCAGTCAATGGATAGTCACAACAGGTCAATGGATGGTCACATCCACGTTGTTATGGGTTTGGTAATAAACTTAAGAATTAATCGTCTAATCGATCAGTATTTAGATATTATGAAAAGTCATGCTATCATATAAATTCGAATATTTAATACAAAATACAGTGTTTTGTAATTTTCCAAAGCTGGGTTAGATCTTCAGAATCTGAGGCATAACTGAACACGATTGTGCTCAAATTGTTCATTTGTGTTTGAAATAGTCTTATTGATTATCATGAGAGTTTAGAAACCTCAAACAGTGACTAACAATACGAGCTGTATTGTCTCTGTGTAAATTATAGGTCTAAAACATTTATAATACAGATCAAAACTATTAACCGTGATGTTCTATTATTTGGCATTTCATAAAAAAAAAATCTAAAGCGTTTAGCTTAACAAGACCATAACTGTAGAAATTAAATTTAGTTTGATCTTACGCAGCATAGAATTATTATATAAATTCATTAATTGATAAATGACTGGAAATATAACAGATTCAATGCAATTTAATAATAATATGAACATCCAATGAACAAAGAATTATGATAACTAAAGTCAAATGATATTCAAATGTAAAAAAAAGTTGAATATGTTTATATACTTGAATGGCTAAGTTTTACTATAAAAGACGTGTACATAGACTTTCTTTTAACAGAAAATCCTTTATCTTATCAAAATCTTCAGAAATGTACTGCTATCGAATTAATGTCTTCCCGTACTCTAATTTGCCGATAGCTTTTCCGTATGCAGTGACGACCTTAACCACGAGAAGCTATTGATTTGACTAGCAAAATATTTGTCTAGAGTGAAATGTGTCACGCTTAAACCAAAGGGAGACACTTTATTACATAAGGAATTAATTTTAGTATTATAGTCATTATCGACCAAGTTAATTCGCGTCTTGAAATATCAGTGAACAAAAGACGAACAGCAATAACTTTTAAAATGCAGCTGCGTTATGAGATGTAGCAATCTCCTGATTAAAGTGAAAGCCATTTGAAAGTTGATCATTAAGTTTAAATATTCATTCATCTGCTGTTAATATAATCTGAGCTATTTCATGTCTTAAAACGAATGGCAAAAATGCACATCTTAGTTATTCTGGTTTGCATTTTCTGCATTAAACTTAAAATTATCTTAACGTGTGTTGGAATAAATTCAAAGTTTGATGTCATTATAGTTTTTATACCTTATTTTCATTTAAACATATTTTATTTGTTATTACATATAACAAAAAGGACCAGACACAAGTTATCACAACTTAGATAGTCCTCTCCTAAATATAATAAATTATAATATATAAATATAAAGACATGCAACAACAACATTAGATGATTATAGATTTGTACAGTAGTTACAGGAAATAAGAAAGTTCACAATTTCCCAAAAAGATAAACAACAGTCCTACATCAAAAAGCTTATTCATCTACATACTAAACTATATCAGTTAAAAAAAAAAGAAAAATATCTTTCTAAAGGTCAAAACGTTCACTTTTCCGAATAAAATGCAAGACTTCTTTAATTAAGGATGTATTTTGACTAAGAGTTAAATTTTCGTTTCCATTTAGTAAAGTACCAAGATCTAAAGACGGGACAAAAAGTAGTTTGTTTAAAAGGTGAGTTCTGATTTGTGCATAAAGCGGACATTAAAAGAAAAAAATGAAATCTGTCTTCAATCAGACTGAAGCACCGACAGCTTTGATAATTTATTATATTGAATCTAAAAAGGTCATAATTTAGAGTTGAACATGCATGTCTAAGCCTTGTTAATATAATGTTTGCCTTACGTTCTCCAATATAATGGACTCTCATCCAACTTGAAGTATAACTTGGAATATGAAGGATGAGAGTCATTCTAGTAATGGAGCCTGAGGCTCAAGAGGATGTAACTATAGCATTCATTTCCCGATGTACAACGAGGCATCTCATTTAAAAGAGGTCAAAATCCTTGACCTATGGATATGACGTAGCTATACCTAGCTATAAATACTGCGGCTATTACCTGTGCCAATCATGATTCAAAGTTTGTTTGTGCAACCAAAACAATTGGGATGGGCAAACAGTACCCTCCAAACTGGGTGGGTAAATTGTTACATCCTCTTGAGCCTCAGGCTCCATTACTAGAATGACTCTCATCCTTCATATTCCAAGTTATACTTGGATGAGAGTCCATTCTACTAATTACGCTCCTCGGCTCTTCGAGGATGTAACTATATATAGCATATTCAAAGTGTTGGCACAAACAAGTAGTTCCCTTAACAACTAACAAAGAGCAAATCAGAATTTGCTGAATCAGTCCAGAATATACTGGAGACTCAGATAGTAGTCAATCTAACTAATCTTTCTGACTTAATAATAAATATAATCTTAATATTAAGTTAAAGTACCAATATTGTATACCAATACCAATAGGTATAAAAAATAAATAGTTTCAAAAACATTCAATTTTGAAAATAAATATACAACAAAATATCTATTTCTCTCAATATATTTTGTAGTCTGAATTTCACTATTTTCAAGAATAATAACTTATTCTAGACATTCAAGACAAATTCTCTTAACTATATAAAGAGCATAACACTCATACCACATCTTCCTATATCTATATCACAAGTTTTGAATTTTCAAAAAAAACATTTGCCTGATACTTGCTTAGTAATACAAACCATTAATTGTATATCTAAATATCTACTGACATATTATTCGGCAACACTTTTCTTAAACATTTGAAAGTGTTTTAATTCTTTAGCCCTTCTTTTTTGTACACTTTTGAAATGACACTCTCTGTAGTTCAGATGTGTATGAAAAAACAAGAATTTGAAGACAAATTCAGGAGACAGTAGTTTAAGTAACGATGTAAACACTGCCAGATACAGATTTTCATTAGCCTTCTGAAGTTTTCAATATTATGTATATCTGATTCTAATATTAATCCATGGTAAATATCTAGTATATTTACAAGCTAAAAACTGTCACTGCAAGTTCTACAAGTATTATCTCTTTGCATGACATTTGCAATTCAGTCTGTCTTTAATATTGTAAGAACAGAAAAATTGATTCAAAAGCTCAAGTAAACAACGAAAGCTTCAAATAGTGTTAATATTCATAACTTTAACATAACTTAGCAATCAAAAACTCCTCTATGAGTCATATTAAAAAATCATGAATAGGTGATTACTGTCACAATAAGGTCACCTGTTAATTAAAGGTTGACTTATTTAAAGCTACATGTAGATGTCAAAGATGATCAGTCTCTACTGTAGATCTTATTCAGGACACTTAATAAAGTGATTATATTTACAAATTTCTTCTTATTCATTTGTATCTGGAATATACCAACTACAATATAGTATTTGATGTCTGGTTCAGTAAATTTACATTCCATGTTTGTTTATGACAATGAGTATGTAGTATATGAATAGTATATATATATATCAAACAGTATTGATAATAAATTGAATCTTAAAGTCCAACACTTCATACAGACTAGGTCTAGTAGACATATACATACTGCATCTAATGTAACATTCTGAAGTAAATCATCTCAAAAGTATCATCGTTATGATATTTCATTAAGTATAAACATATTATACAAAAAACAGTATAGCTATTTAATATCTTATGTTATAAGAATTAATATAGATCAATATATCCAGAACTAAAACTTGATCCAGCATGTTTTAAAATCCTAAGATTTAAGTAATACTGTTCTGTGAACACTCATCTGCTAATCTGATAATTTTCTTAAAAAAGAACTGGAGAAGGGTTACAAAGTTTATACTTCATTGTAAACTGTCACATTTGAAAATGACCTTCACCCATCCTGATATCCATACACATGTTGGATATTTAAAAGGAATATAACTATTACTGTATATTAACCTATATCAGTCAAGACTTGAACTGCTCCTGTACAATATTCTTATGATACATCTTACATGTACTATTTTTCTATATATATACATCTAATGTTATATATGGCTATGTTATATTTAGAGCAATATAACTACATGTAATTAAGAAGAGTAATTTCTAATTGAACTGAAAAGAAAATCCAGTGTACATGTACAGATTTAGGTGGTAAGCAAAATATAAGTTTGCAATTTGTTTTGCAAATTCTAATGCTTTATAGAATACTTTCCAAAGTTGCATTTCTCGATGGAGCATGAAAATATATATATATATATATATTTCA